CCTCATGAGGCCTTGGCCTTATAGCTCACCTCAAAGATTTTTCAGAATGTGTTAGAAACATCTTTGTACCTCAGTTTCCTTATGTGTAAAATGGAGATGAACATAACCAAAAGAGTCAGCCTTGTATGAGCATAAGCTTTGGGCTTAGGCAAACCTGAGTTGAAATCGTAGACCTGCTACTCTTTAGCTGTGAACCTTAGTTTCTCATGTAAAAAAAAAAACAAAACTATTAATAAAACACCTACAGAGTGGTTAAGAAAAATATAGAAAGCATCTAGTAAGTGCCTGGCACAGAGTAGGTGCTAAACACTAACTCACCTGTTCTCAGGCTGACTGAAGAGCCTAGACTCCTTCCTCATTGAAGAGTGGGGGCAGAGGGGTTACAGAGAAACTGATGACTCCTCAGGGGCATAAGTCCAAAAAATAGCCATTGTTTGTCATATTGCCATATGACCTCTCTTGTCTAGTTTCTGGATTTCAATATCTTCTGGAGAAGAAGAAAAAAGCTTTTTTTTCTTTTTTTTAAATCCCATGCCAGACTTCCCCTGAAGGTTCTGAGGGGGACACAGAAATACTCTTGTCCAATAAAAACAAGCTAAATCACATTTCTATGTCAAGAGGGAATCCATTATCTCGAGAACCTAATCAAATATCTACCAGGAAATTAGTAGCAGGAACCATAAACATTATGTCTGAACTTCTTGGGTGTTAAATAATTATAGGACTTCTGCTTCTGGGAAGATAGACTAGATGTACTTTTCCCTGTTCCACTAACTAAGTACAACAAAACCCCAGGACATTATATATAAAACAAGCATAAGAAGACTGAAAGGTAGAGAGAAGTCAGACTGGCTAGGGGCTTTGGGACCCCAGCAACAACATGATAGTAAGTTTCCTTTTTTTTTTTTCTCCCTTCTCTCATATATTCTCAGACTTGGAGCTGAGGAAGCCTGCAACTCAGAAATGCCAAAAAGAGCAAACGTTAAGAAGAGAGAGAGAGAGAGAGAGAGAGAGAGAGAGAGAGAGAGAGAGAGAGAGATATGAAAGAAAGAAGAAAGAAAAAGAAAGAAAGAGAAAGAGAGAAAGAGAGAGAGAGAGAGAGAGAGAGAGAGAGAGAGAAAGAGAAAGGAAAGAAAGAAAGAAAGAAAGAAAGAAAGAAAGAAAGAAAGAAAGAAAGAAAGAAAGAAAGAAAGAAAGAAAGAGAAAGAAAGAGAAAGAAGAAAGAAAGAAAGAGAAAGAAGAAAGAAAGAAAGAAAGAAAGCATGGTTTCTCTAGCCAAAGGATAAAGAAAAGGCCACCCTAACAAGGCAGAAAACTTTTAGACAATAACTGCTCTATTCCAGCCAAACACTGCAGGGAAAACTTGCCCTGCCAACAAAGGCTGACAGGGGAGCCTGCACTTCCATCCTTGCCAAGCCATCATGAGGTGCTCCTCCTCCTTCCTATATTTGAGGTGATGCCAGAGGAAGCCAAGTAGGGAGCTGGACTTTCATTCTCCCCGCCCCCTGGGCAGTCATGAGCCCCCCCTCCTGCCCACAGGGTCAGTAGAGAACACACAGGGGACTTGGACCAGGGGATCCCCTCCACCTTCCCACTGGGTGTTCAGAGGAGGCCTACTGGAGGGTCGGGACTTTCACCACTGCCCAGTCATAACAAACCCACCCTCAGCTACAGTGTCAGTTGAGACTATGGCTGGGGGACACGGTGCAAACTCCCACCCCTGCCCAGCAGTAATAAGGAGCTCCTGGCCTTGGGTGTCAATGGAGGCCAAGTGGAAAGTCTGGACTTCTCCCTCTACCTGTCAGTAATGAGGCAGCACCCCTTCCTTCCCCTGCTGGAATGATGTCAGAAAACCAGTAAAGACAAGTTCAAATAAGATTCAGTCTCATTACATAATACAGAAATGTCCAGGTTTCAATAAAAAAATCACTCATCATACCAAGAACCAGGACATCTCTGACTGAAGGAAAAAGAGATGCTAGCACTGAGGTAACAGATGTTAGAATTATCTGACAAAGGTTTTAAAGCAGCCACAATTAAAAAATACAACAATTATGAACATGCATCAAACGAATAAAATAACCAAGGCCCAGCAAAGAAATAGAAGATATAAAGAAGAACCAAATAGAAATTTGAGAACCGAAAAATATAATCAAATAAAATAACCAAAATAAAGATGTCACTGGATAGTCAGGCTCAACAGTGGAATGAAGGGGGCAGAGGAAAGAATCAGCGAACTGGAAGATGAAACAATTGATGCTACAATCTGACCAACAGAGAGAAAATGGACTAAAAATAAATATGCAGAGCCTCAGGGACCTGTGGGACTGGAACGAAAGATCTTTTTGTCAGAGTCCCAGAATCAGAGGAAAAGGAAGCTGGAGCTGAACAGGGATTCAAAGAAATACAGGTTCAAGAAGCTGAGCAAACTCCAAAGAGAATAAGCCCAAATAAATCGACCCCAAGACTCTCGTCACTGTTAACTTTCTGACAACTAAAGACAAAAAATTTTTTGAAAGTAGTGGGAGAGAAGCAACATCTTACCTATATGAGAAAAATGCCTTGAATGACAGCATATTTCTCATCAGAGAACTATGGAGGCCAGAGAGAAGTGGCAAAGCAGTTGCCAAGTGCTGAAAGAAGAATCCTCGATCTAGAATCCTGTCTCTAGTGAAAATATACTTTGGGAATGATGGGGAAATCAAGATATTCTTAGCAAGGAAAATGAAGAGAAGTTCTCACTGACAGACCTACCCTAAAATAATGGCTAAAGGGAGCTTTAAATTTTTTTTGTTTATTTCTCATCCAAGGATATTTTTTCCATTGCTTTTCAGAGAGAGTGGAAGTGGGGGGAGAAAGAGAGAGAGACACACATATCCATTGGCTACCTCCTGCACTCGCCTGACCTGGCTGGGAATCCAACCTGCAACTAGGTATGTGCCCTTGGCCAGAACTGAACCCGGGACACTTCAGTCCATAGGCCGACACTCTAACCACTGAGCCAAACCTGCTAGGGCTAAAGGAAGTTTTTGTGTTTTGTTTTTAAATATATCTCTATTGATTGATTTTAGAGAGAGGAAGGGAGAGGGAGAAAGAGAGAGAAACATCAATGATGAGAGAGTCATCATTGATCGGCTGGCTGCCTCCTGCATGCCCCTAATTGGGGATCGAGCCCGCAACCTGGGCATGTGCCCTGACGGGGAATTGAACCATGATCTCCTGGGTCCTAGGTTGGTGCTCAACCGCTGAGCCACGCCTGGCCGGGCTAAAGGAAGTTTTTTAAACAGAAAGAGAACAATAAAAGAACAATATACAATGGAATGTTAGCCATAAAAAGAATGAAATCTTGCCATTGTGACAGCATGGATGGACCTAGGGGGCATTATATTAAGTGAAGTAAGTCAGAGAGAAAGACAAATGCCAGATGATTTCACTTATATGCAGAATCTGAAAAACAAAAACGAGCTCTGGTGGGTGTGGCTCAGTTGGTGGGGCATCGTCCTGTGCACTGAAAGGTTGCAGGTCCCATTCCTGGTCAGGGCACATGCCCAGGTTGCCTGCAGGGGGCAGCTGAATGTCTCA